GTCCTCCCCCTCAAGGAAGGAGTGGCAGAAACAGCATGTGACGAACTGACCTGCAACCCCCATTCTCTGTTCCCCAGCGCCACTGCGGGAGGAGGTAGAGCGAGGAAGAAGGGAGGGGTGGAGGGAAGGTGTTTTTAAGATCTTTGTTTCTCATTCTGCTCTCTGAAGTAACTGTTAATGAATTAAATTGATTTGTCCCCAAGCCAAGTCTGATTTGTGGACCGTGGTTGGTGGGTGATCCCTCCCTGTTCTTATCTCAACCTTCAGGCCTTTTCTTACGTTTTTCTCCTCTACAGCCGGTGGAGGGAGGAGTGAGTGAGTGGCTTCATGGTAACTTGGCTGCCTGACTGGGCTGAACATGACAGAGAGGCACCCTAAAGGCAATGGCTTTATAAATACAATTGGGATGTTCTTCCATTTCTCATGCCTCTGCTTGAGCTATTGGTACAACTCCTAATCATCTAAAGATCAAGTTGCATTATCAGTCTGACCCACTAAGGGTTTATTAGCACCAAAGCTGCCAGACTTCACTGATTTGCTTCTTGGCTGTTCCTTTATTAGAGGCTGATAAAGTCGTTTTCAAGGAGTGATGGATCTGGATTTAAGTTGCAATGAGATATGTTGGCCTCTCTTTCAGACCACCCTTAGAACAGTTGACAAAGCGTGGCAGCCCTGGAGCAACAACTTGTTTTCAAAGCAGCAGGACAGGTTTTTTATGCTGAAACATCTTTGATGAAAAATTGCTGGATTTTTTTCTTTGTAATTCAAATGAGGAAAAATTGTGGATTTTTTTCTGCTTTGAGGTGAAAACCTTACTTTGGGATTTTCTCTTTTTCTTACAAATAGGACAGGCAGAGAAGGAATCTGTTTGTAGACTTGGAAGACAGAATAATTTTTCTCTCTCCTTATCAAAAGCAGGTTTTGTTCCTTACAAAGTATATAAATTATCTGAAAAATCTTGATCCAAATAAACAGTGTTTGATGTCCCCTAGAAGCTGTCTTTTTTTTTTTTGTTGTTTAAATCGATGTTAGATTTTAAACATAAACACTGAATTGAGGAAGCATCCCAGGTGGGTAGGTCCTGGAGTGACAAATTTTCTCTCCTTAATCAAAGTTTCACTGGAAGCAGAGGAGAAGTCTTGACTTGTTCCTTACTTTGGTAGTGAAAGGGGCTCTTCTGAAGATGAATACGTGAATGTGCACCAGAAAACAAGACATCATAGGCACAGTGAATTTGCTGGCAGTGTGCGGAAGAGAGAGCAGGAGTCTTCAGTCACTTTACAGCTTTCCTATGAGGTGCTTCCATTGGCAGGGAAAAGCGTGAAAGCACGTTCACACCTCCTACAGAGGTGACCCTCTAATTGAATATCTTTGGAAAATGTGAGAGACACAGTGAAAATAATCCCTGTGGGTGCAAACCCCCTTATGCACACTGCCTTGGGATTGCATTTTCTCCTGTAAGGACTTAGCCATAGGCAGTGTTTCACTAAAAGTGTTTGTGGCCTTCCTGCTGCTATTTAGAGGGAGCATCTCAGTTCAATGTAATTCCCTGTCCTGCAGAGCAGAGAGCTGCTCCTTTTCCCTCTCTTAGTCTGGATGATCCCTTCAACTGTCCAGTAACAATGAAGGCAACTTTTGTATGAGGAAGGAGATCTTTTGACCTTGGAATCCAGTCTTCCACCATTCCAGATTCAAATAGAGAATAAAAGCACCAAGGAGTGCCTCATTTTGGCATTGGCAGGATAGACTGGTATCATCTCTGAACAAACTTGTTTCTTGGTCTTGCCTTGGCTCCTGATCTTAGTTTGAAAATGCACCTGTAGCCTGTCAGCTCCCAACACTGAGTCCTTGTCTGCTGAGGAGAAGACAGTAGCTCTGCTCAAACAGGTAAATGACTTGGAGGAGAAAGACATTTTATATGAAGGTAGCTGGTAAATAAGGTGAATGATGAATCTTCCACTGTGTATAGGAGACCTCAGAATACCTGCCTAATTACACTTTCCAAAAAAAGAGAGCATTTTGGAATCAGCTGTCTGGGCCCACTCTGCCCAGCAGGTTTTTTAAATCAGACACAAAAAGGAAAAGATGAGCAAAGTGAGGAGAACTGCCTCTTCTCTGTTGCTTTCCTCACCAGCCATTAGCTGTTTTCTCACTGACGCCTCCACAAAAAGTGGCAAGAATGATCAGTGTTTCAAGGCTGCTGCCGCTGCCAGCCCCCGAGCTGGGGGGAGGAGGGCTCCTTCCTCCTCGCTCCACAGAGCTGTTCTAAGTCAAGCCCAGTGACTCAGGCCTGAAATGGGGGAAAGATTTACTCTTCTGTAAGAGCCCAGAGATTGAAGGGTTAAAAAGACGTTGCTGTCTAGCATAGCTGGTGATGTATGGTGGGAATACTGTATGCAGCGCATTCTGTGCTGGAAAATGATATATACTGTGTATACAGGTCTAAGTAAACCCTATGCCATGTAGTGGTTGGAAATTGAGGAAAGATACAGAAGGGAGCAGGGAATTAGGATAGTCTTATTTATGTGATGGACAGTGTTTTCATCTCTTAATTTGACTGTGGTCTCTCTAATAGTGAATAAAGGACTGAATTAGACAAATCACTTTCTTTTTTAAAATATTGAATTGCAGAATCAACCATCCTCTCAAGAGCATGCAAGACATCCTTCCTTAATAAGTTGAGAAGGATCTGCTGGCCCAGATAAATCTGTGCTGTGAGCACGCCTTGTGCTCATTTCAGAATGCATTTCTAAGTCCTTGAATTCATTAAACCCTAATTAGCAATGAGCATTGATGATTAAAAAAATCTATAATAATAGGCAGACAAGTGTATCTTGAGCTGTGAAGGCACCTCTGGGTCTGTCCTGCAATTAGCTTTTAGCCAGTTTGATCTTAAAATAATCCTTCTATTTTCTCTGACATCCTGACCTTGCCTCTTGCTTTACCATTTGACGTCACAGCTTCCAAAGCTGTTGCCTGGAGTTTGTGAGGGTTACCCTCTGCAATAGGTTGCGAGACTTACAGTAAAAGTAAAAAGTAAAATTGGAAACAAACAGCAAAGTTAACGTCTTGATGCAAAATTGCACTATATTTGACTGTGTCGAGAACAAGCATTTGGGTTACTCCTTGTCTGTCAGAAGCTTTAATGAAAACAAAATGAAAACTGCTGTGAAAGCCCTATATTAATCATTCTTTGAGATAATTTCCCTTTTAAATGACTAGTATCCTGGCTGTAGTAACTGATGATGATACAGCAGAAATAAAACAGCCATAAAGACAGAAGAATCCTGACTGTTGACTTCAGCCAACCACAAAAGAACTGCCATTGTGCTTGGGATGTCTGAAAAAACGCAGTCAGAGCAGCCACTTCAAGCATCTGTGATTTTTGTCAGCTCCTGGAGGATTTAGCAAATAGCAGTAAAGTGCTTTGCTTAATAAATGAAATTGAGAAGTGGAGACCGTGCCTATGTCTGGCTTTAAGACCTTCTCTTTGAAAGTGGCCCAGCATGTGGTCCAAACTACTGTACAACAGGTTTTCAGAAAAAGGAGGTAGCCATATACCTCTGTCACCACTTAGCGCAATTATAAATTTGCTACTGCACCTTTTCAAGTATTGGTGAAACTTCTGCTGAATTCATTATATAGAACCAGGTTGTATATGCATCTAGTCACTTGCATATAGAGCCATTTCAGTTGTTCGTATGCTTACCAGATTCATTAGTGTAGAAACACCAAAAATACAGTTTTTATTTATAAGAGCCTTCTGAAAGTGTTGAAGAAGTAATTGTTCAGAGACATCAGTTGAGAGAAAGGCAAAATATCTTTTTGAAAAGTGCTCATACATGTAAAAATCTTGTAAAACTGAAAACACTCCTTGCTACTAACTTCAAGGGGAGGACTTAAATGGCATGTATCTTGTCATAAATGCTGTATTATTCCCAGGTGTGGAATTTGAAGCAAAAAGGTGTTTAACCAGCAAGGAGATCAGTGCATTTGATGCTTGTCTGTTGTCTTTGCTTTCCAGAACACTTCTGCAGCAGTTGCAGAGACTTCAAGCTGTAGTTGCTGGGAAAGTGTCCCGTTCATGTAAGGCAGCTAGCACACAGACAGGGACCTGTCTCATGGTGAGTGTCTCTAAAGCTGGGAGTTGTAAGGGAATGAGAATCTCTTTCCAGTGTTCAAAGGCACATCTCTTGTTCTGCAAAGCCTCTCACTTGCAAATTCTCTGCTTGGGAGAGTTCTTTTCAAAATTTCATAATTAATATTGAGGTAGATGAGACTCCTGGCTGATGAAGATTAATGGTTGTGAGAAGTCATTAAATTCTGGAGGAGACTGGGCCTGTGATTTTGATAGGGTGCTGCAGTGATGAAAGAAGGAGCACTGCTCCTGAGTGACCTATTTTATTATTTCCTACAATATCATATGTGAGAAATGGTGTCTAGAGTTGTAAAATGAAAACAAATGTGACCTTTGATGCTCAGTTCTTTTGATACCAGTAAAATTAAACTTGCTCATCCAAATAACAATATGACTAAGGCTTTAAGTCTACCTCTGCCCTATTTCAATAATAGTAGTCAGGATAAGAAAAGGATTAGAATGAAACTTTTCCCTTTTCCCTCCTCACACTCAGCCAGCAAGCTCTCTTTATACTAGTGCTATAAATTGATAGGAATTATTTTCAAGACCTAAGCAGTTCTCCTAGTCTGCTAGCCTCTCTGTCACTTCAAAGCAAGAAGTAACCTTGGAAATTCCTGACAGTATCTGTAAAACACACATGGTGGCTGTGTCTGCTTTTCAACTTTGGGAGTAAATAAAGCGACAGGCCAGAATGGTGGCAGACATTGAAAACAGACTCCAGCATTGAAATCTGCCCTTTAAAACATTGAATTGTTACTGTATATGTGCCTTTAGAATCATAGAATCATAGAATGGTTAGGGCTGGAAGGGACCTTCAAAGGTCATCTAGTCCAACCCCCCTGCAAGGAACAGGGATATCTCCAACTAGATCAGGTTGCTCAGGGCCTTGTCCAACCTGGCCTTGAACGTCTCCAGGGATGGAGCATCCACCACCTCTCTGGGCAACCTGTTCCAGTGTTCTACCACTCTCATGGTAAAAAATTTTTTCCTAATATCCAACCTGAACCTACCTCCCTCTATTTTAAAACCGTTACCCCTTGTCCTATCATAACTGGCCCTCCTGAACAGCCTCTCCCCATCTTTCCTGTAGGCCCCCTTGAGGTACTGGAAGACCGCTATAAGGTCACCCCGGAGCCTCCTCTTCTCCAGGCTGAACAGCCCCAACTCTTTCAGCCTGTCCTCATAGGAAAGGTGCTCCAGCCCTCTTATCATCTTCGTGGCCCTCCTCTGGACCCTCTCCAACTGGTCCATGTCCTTCTTATGTTGGGGACTCCAGAACTGGACGCAGTACTCCAAGTGAGGTCTCACGAGGGCAGAGTAGAGGGGGAGAATCACCTCCCTCGACCTGCTGGCCACGCTCCTCTTGATGCAGCCCAGGACGCGGTTGGCCTCTCTTTGCTGAGAGACACTGTATGTGGTGATGAAAATAGCCTCAAATGATTTGTTTTGAAAAGTATCATATCTTCTTTGTGTTGATTCTTAGTTTTGAGATGCACATATGGGCCAAGAGCTAGTACACTTACCTCTTCTACATCTTTCCTTTGACAGATGGTGGTGCTGTGCTTTGCAGTAGTTTTTGGCAGCTTCTCTCAGAGCTATGGGCCATATCCTTCTGCTACAAAGATGGTTTTGCCCAGGCAGCATTCCTCACCAGAGTCCTACACAGACTCTATTGGTAAGAAACAACTGTCTCAGTCTTGCTCTTTGCTTGGTTGTGCTTTGGTGCTTGTTTTCCACCCCCATCCTTAACCACCTCCTCAAGCACCTCTTGCTTTTCTGCTCCTTACCTGGCCATTCCTTGATATACCTGTGTTTTTCAAAGAAGGATAGTTTGGCAAGTTAGGCTGATGGCAGCAGATTTCATAAACACGGGCAAAGCCTTTTCCCCACTAGCTGGCTTGGTACTTCTGTTTAAAGCAGTTTTGTTTCTGATTGTGGAACTAAAGCTAGTGGTCTGTAAAAGGTAGCAGGATTTCTGCTCCGTAGCAGATGTTCATACTGTTAAAATGCGCAACTGATATCAGCTGGTGTTTCCTTTACCAGTGTCAACAAAGAGTCCAAGGACTGAGTGGGAAACTGTTACGATTACTTACTTGTAATGAACTAGTTGCTTTCAACATATATTATCAAACTGATTGTTTAATTTTGTTCTGGTTTTGTGACTAATTCAGATCTTTTTGATCCCTACCTGGACCATTGCTGTGGTATCTTTCCTGAGCTATCCAATTACCAGTTAATCACTATGAAAATAGAAGACTTTTGCAACTTTAGTTCTGCTCTGATGGTTTCCATTTCCTGAAATAACCAGCGCTGCCTGTTTCTCATCTCTTTTTGCCTTCTGTCTTTGTATGCAGTGAGGTCAAGGAGTCTGCTAATTTATGAAGAGCCTCACCAACTGGAGGAGTCGTCAAGCCCGATCTCCTTTGCAGATCGCAATGACAGGCAAGCAGACACCTCCAAGTATGCAGCGCTGTCCCTGGAAGCTGTGCCGGGGACGCAGCAGGATGATATCATGCAGTTCACAATAGCCAACGAGACGAGGCTAGAGAAATCAGTGCTGCTGGGCCTGCAGCAGCACCGGTGAGTGCAGGGTGGGCTGCTTGTCATACGGGTGTTCAGTCTTACTGTCATTTGTGCCTGGAGGCCAGAAGTAAGACTAGGGGCTCAGCTACGCTGGCCACTGTGAAACATGAAGTAAGAGTTGGGTCTCTACCTAGAGAGCTTATGGGCAAAGCTATTGATAACTCTGGAGAAGTGGTTGCAACAGTATTGTAGTAAAGCAGCTACTGAACTCAGTGCTTCTGCCAGAAACCTAACCCCTGTAAGTTGTGCCTACCCACTTCCTTAAGCACTTACTTCTGTGTCTCCTAAAGGAATAAGCTTTTGCCAGTTGGGTGGAAATGTGAGGCTGTAACTCACTGGGCTTTCTATGAGGTTAGGGTGTGAAGAGCTGGAGCTTCTCGCAGCAGTGATCTTACTAAAGCATTACTGTGAAAAGTTTGTGGGAGTCAATCTGAAGAGACAGACTTGTAAATTTATCTGAACTACTTAACACAGAGCTCCTTCATAATTTTTAAATCCTTTTTTAGCATAAATGTAAGTTTTTGGGGCCTCTGCAAAGAGAGAGATTCACTGGTTTATATATGTGTGTGCAGTTTTCTTTCCACTCTACCTTTTCTTGTCCTGCCACTGTCCTGTTGGCCCAGGCCTTGGTCTCTGCTAACAAGCAGTGGCAAGCACACCAAATAGCGGAGAGAGAGATTTGGTTTGGAAGCATGCTATTCTGAGGGCTAGGATGAGCCACATCACGCCAAGCATGCCTTATGAGCACTTGTGTCAAAGTTATACCTAAAGCCAAAGAGATGACTAATTCAGTGCGTTGCCATACTCAGCTGACAAGTAGCTGGTAAATACTGAGTGCCTTTTTAGCATTAGCCAATTCAAGCAGGATACGTGCTTTTAAAAATGACTAGCTATCAGCCTTAACCTTTGTTGTTTTGTTTTTTTTTGTGCCCTACAGAGTCAACTCCGAACTAGAAGGAAATGAAACACTGAAGATAATTGAAATAGATAGAAGAGTCAATGCCACCTCTTAAAAATAAAAAGGCCTTTTTTCTTCGACTTCTCTCTTTCCCACATATTTCCAACCAAAGTCCCCCTGACTTGTCATCCTCAGTGAACCAAAGCACAAAAGAGAGGGAGTTCAACTTCTGCATTGACTGGTGAGGCTGTGACTGCAGATGGGATCTCTTGTCTTTGTAACTCCCTTCCTCACTTCACACACAGTCCCTGTCTTTGCTTTTATTCCTTTCCTGTCTAATACTGCAAGGGCAGGATTGAATTATGATGACAGATGATGCCAGCAGTGTGCCGGTGACTGGTGGGGGTGTGTGTGCGTGCAGGCACACATCCTAATCTGAGCACAAAGACATTCTGTAGAAGAGTGAAATATGCAAAACCGATGGGAGCTTGTGGATCATAGGTTTCTTGGGAGAAGGTAGTTGGGGAAAAGAGGAGATACAGCATGATGCTGCTCAGAATCTAGCCACAGCTCTGTGTCTACTGGTCTCTAGCACTTGAGCCTTTTGGGGGGATTGGGAAGCATGTGTGTAGCCTGCTTCTGAAGAGGCAAGAAAGGGCCCTGATACTGCTGAATTAACAGCACAGACAGGAGAGAGGTGGGCAATGATGCTGCTAAATTGTCCTCCCCTAGCTCTTCCTCTTCTCCCCTCCAGCCTCTTTATAATTTAGTGGGGTGGGTTTTTCTCTGGGTTGAAAGCAGTCCCGGTAGGCTTCCCTACTGCTTCTACCCTTGTGGAATTCAAGCAAAGATCAGTCGCTGTCTTGTCACACTTGTCTATGAGGGAGAATTACACTAGTTTAACTAAATCTGTTTAGAAAGCAGGTTTTGTTAAATTTATGCAATGTTTTGAATGGATGTCCTTTAGTCTGCTTTGGGCTAATCTGTTTAGCTTAAATCAGTTCCTTCCCAACAAACTAAATCAATGTAAGGCTCAAACCAGGCGTGCCTCCTGAGAGGACCATATGGATTTAATTTATTGGCTTCTAGATGCGTTGATGGAGTTTCTTGTGTAGACTTGGTCTCTGATTGTCCTGTGTTTTCCTTTCCTTGACATCTTCCTGTTACTATTGTAAATAGTATTTATTAGCTTTGCAAAATTTTGTTCAGGCAGTCACAATGAGGAGAATTGAGCTTCCCTAACCCTGCAAGTGGTCTGGGCAGAATCAGACACAAATGTTACTGAACACCCATTCCCTCCCCCAAAACTTGAATTGCCCTAAAATAAAGCCTTGTGTCCTCTTACCTCCTTTTCCAGAGATGTGATCTTAGACTAACTGCTTAGCCAAAAAGATAGGGGTATAAGTAGCCCCAGCTAGGCACAGTTCAGGCCTGGAGGTGGTAGTTACTGTAGTAACTGGATGGCGAGACAGCCTCTGACCTGAGGAGCTGAGTATGTAGGCAGCATATAAGGCAAAAGAGGGATGAGGTGGGCACATAGAGAGGTGAAGTGACTGGCCCAAGTTCAGTGGAAAAGCCAAGAGCGATATTCAGGTCTGATCCTGGTCCAGTCTCTCCTGGTCTTCTCCCTGCTTTGTTTCCTCCTTGTCCCATGTAGCTGTTGTTTTTAAGGGTTCTCCCTCTCTGGGTACCCTGGTCATGCCTTTGCCCAAGCTGTGCTTCTTGCAATTTGTCCTTGGAGTGACACAGTGAAACCTGCTCCAGGATTTGAGCAGGGTTGTATCTGGTTACTACAGAAGGGGGCTCAGACTCTATTGAGGATGGATTTAATGTGAAAATCTTAATTCAACAGACTAGCGTAGCTACTTTACAGTTTACCAGAAGTAGTCAATTTTTAAAAAAAGAATAAAGAATTTTGAAGTTTTTTCCTTTTTTTTTTTCCTAATAATAAGGGAAAAACTAACCTAGCCTTACAAGTAATTTTTTACCATGTACAGTAGATGTTTCCTGCAAGTATTCTATTTTGTAAAATATTGGATTTGTATTTTATTACAGCAGTTGCCACACCAGCTCTTTTCTTGTTCTTCATGCTCCTTAGATTTTTTTTTTTGCTTTGGTATCCTATTTTGACAACCTCAGGCCTGACTCAAAACTCAGTGAAATGAATGGAAAGAATTTAGTGAGTTACAGCAGGCTGTGGATCAGTCCCCACTGTGGCGATTTAAGAAGGTGTTTCACGTTAGTGACAGTGAAACATGTACCTGACTCCATGAAATTGTGATGAGTTTTGGTGTACAGACGTGCTTTCTAGGTAATGCCCTATTCTTCTGTGTAAGTGCCTTTTTATTATTTTACCTCTGCTGGCAATGAGAGGAGAAATGCCGTTGTAGTCTATTTCCCAAGTGTTCCCTTCTTTTTTGGTGTGGGTCAGTCACCTCCCTAAAGCCTGTTTCCCTTCACAGTGATCCTGCTGGGTCCTTTGCATCATTCCAGTATCCACCAACAACTTTTGTTTCACTTTGGGTTTTTGAGCAATGATTTAAGGCTTCACATAAATAATGAGTACTGGTGGGTGCCACTGAGGGTGCCACAAGGGATGGCCGCGTTGTTTTGCCACATGAGGTCAGCAAAGTGACAGGAGAAGGCTGGGACTGCCCCTTCCACTACCTTATGGCTGGCCACTGTAGGAGGGCAAGGTCATAGCTTAGAAAATTCCCTCAACCGTCTTTTTTTGCAGAGCACCCATGGTTTGCCACCGCTGAGGGCGACCAAATGGTTGCGTCTTCTGCAAGAGGCCCCAGGCTGTCAAGCACAACGCTGCTTTTACTATTCTTGCCATTTGCACTGTGCATAAGTCGGAGGCTGCTCTGCCTGAGCTCATGCCCATTACCAGTTAAATGGATCACCTCCCATCGCGGATACAGCTGGCTTCACTATATTAAAACCAAAATTTAATTATTTCTCAATACTAAGGGCAGACAGTTTCACAAAACCCAAACAACGCCCCTGCCCCAAAACCTACTGCACTAGTCACCATTAAAGCTTTGCCATTTTGTTTGCTTAATTTGGGCACGTCAGTTCAAATTGGACTGATTGGGAGACAGTCATGTTTTCATCTGAAGCATTTTAAATTGCCCACGGTCTGAGTCAGGCATCTGAACTAATTCATCCAAACCAGTATGGCCATACCAATTTTCTTGTAACTGTTTGATAATCTACTTCTATAATCTTAATTTGTGTAATCCTTTAAATTATTTTTAGGAACTCTTAAGAGGATCTCTTGACCTAGCACACACATTGTTTGGGGATTTATTATTATTAAATATTACTTCTTTATAATAAGGAAAACCTTTGCTTTTCTTTGATATGTTTCTGATCATTTATCTTCAGAGGCCTTAATAGAACTGGTTTCTCTGCTAGGTACCAGGGGCCAAAGAATCTCCTGTCATCACCTACCCACAGGCTGTTACGCGACAAGGACCTCACTATCTCCAGAGGCAGTTTATGCCCGTGTTATGTACCTAGCAGGGGGACAGAGGAGGCAGGACACGTGCAATTGCACTACCAGCCTCAGCAGTCCAGGGGTGACCCAAGTGTGAATGTTGATGCACTGCAGACCACGTGGAGAGGCAGCTGTACGTGCTCTGTGTTAAGGGCATAGGGAAGGAGTAGTAAGGCATATTCAGGGAGGATGCCAGTATAAGTGCTTTTAATTAGTGCAGCTGTATTACTTGAGGTCTTAGCCTTCTGCCAGTATACTTTTTCCAGTGATCAGTGACTTGGTGCTGTAGAATAATGTGTGTGTATGGACAGAGTAGGCAAAGGCCTTATGTGCTACTTAATTTCCATTTCCACTAGAGGACTTAAGTGATCCTTAGAGTCTTCAGCTGTAACATTATGCTGCTTGTCAGCACAATTTTATACACACTAGTAAAATTACCTTTTGGCCCATCGCTTTAAAGCATGTCTAGATCTGTCAGGTCTTTGCTTCTAGGGAAATAAGCTACAAAGGAATGTAGGGCATTATTTTTATATATATATATATTTTTTAAAAGTATCAAGCACGGGGCATGTGACAGTTCTAACCCTGTTACCAGCATGTAGATAATGTTGGTTTTTGTTGTTTGTTTGTTTGTTTGTTTTTCCCCAGGCCATTTATAGTTCTTTGCTGCGTTTCTCTTATTTCATCTGTACCATTCAATATTTTTCAGCAGCACAGACTAATAGTGGATTAGGCTGAGGCTCTCAGGCCAGATCCCAGCTGATACAATGCAGCACACCGCTCTTGGAGGCTGCAGGTCTGATTTATACTGGCAGAGGACCTCTTCCATATCTCTCTGTGCAACAATGTGTCTCAATGTAGTCTTGATTTCCAATGTAGAGCTGAAAATGAATACCAAAACTTTTCTTCTTTGTTTTTTTTTTTTCCTGCTAAAAAAATTAACTCACCTCTCCACTCGCATCCCCCCCAAACTAGCAGCAGTGAATTCTGTCTAGACGCATTTAGAATGTAGGTCAAGTAAATGAATGATACTAATTGCTACATTGGGAGGGATTTCCACTGAGTATTTGGGCTCTAGATTCTAGCTAATGCCAAGAGGCCATTGTACAAAACCCACGCAGCTAAGAACAGAAGCATGTGGAGTATTTTTATACTGTTGGTGACTAAAATATTTCTCAAGTCACTAATTAGAAAGGGAACATTTTGTATTCTGAAGGTGAAATGGTAGGTCAGTACTTTGTAACTACAAAAGTTATACTCGCCTATATAAGTAGTGTAGTGCTATGATGTGTTGCTGCTTTGCACTATAGTGTTACGATGAACAACTCTGAGGGTTGCAAAGATGAATGAACTGGTTTATGTGTTGAAGTTTTTACAAATAAGATGTCAGGATTCCATCAACCGGCCAGGATATTGTAGCTTTCTCATGGCCACGAAAATGGCAGTGAACATTCAGGGATATGTTGAGGGTGTGATCTCAGTTACTATTGCATTGCTTAGGTGATCAGCATCCATTGGACACTCCAGGATTAAGAGGGAAATTGCAATTTGTTTTTGTGGTTTTCACGTTAGGCCTTTTTCTGCTTTACCGAGGTGTAGATCTGAATTGACTTCCTACAAAGAAAAGAGTGCATCTCACAGGAAACTTGCATTTGTGATGCTGAAATGGAGTTTTGATATTATTTATTACCAGTAGTCTCTTCTCTTCCCTAAAGCCCATCTCCATACTCTTCCTCTTAAGAATTGGAACTGAATAGGTGACAACAAAACATGGGAAAGCTGGATTTGTAGACCTGCCTTACAGAAAAAGTGAAAGAAGTGGCCAATGAGGGGACTTCTGACATCATGGGGAGACTTCTTAGTTCTTGATTCCATAAATCAGCAATGATAGTCTTTTTCATTAGTTTCCCCCTTGTTTTAGCTTTACTCTTCCCCTCGCTCTTTAATACTATGCAATCCTGTTTATGCATATCTGACCTTTATTGTATATGCCATTT